ACTAATACTAATACTAATACTAATAATAATAATAATAATAATAATAATAATAATAATAATAATAATAATAATAATAATAATAATAATAATAATAATAATAATAATAATAATAATAAATGTGCCATGAGGTAAATTCTGACTCGCGGGTTTTTCAGGTAAAAAATATACAGAATTGGTTTCCCCTTCCCTTCCTCTAGGGCGCAACCTTGGGATGGTGCAGCTGACCCAAGGCCACCCAGGCTGGCTCTACTTGCAGGAAGTCAGGTCAGGAATCAAACTCCTAACCTCTGGCTCTGCAGCTGGAGACCAAAGCCACTGAGCTATCCAGCCAGCTCTGACAACTGCATCAGGGCCCAACAAATCCCAGCAACTTTGCATGCACAGCACTCACCCCAATGCCATAGTCCCAGGCTCCTCCTCTTGGTTCCATGGGCTGGACTCCAGTACGATGACAAACAGTCCCACAACTCAGGCTGTGGCTTCCTTGGACTTTATCTGCTATCACCCAGACCTAGAAAAAGCAAGAATAAGATTGTGCCCATTTTACATGCTGCAAAAGCTTGGAAATAACTAGCCCCAAGTAATGGTTACATATTAGTTCCTTTTTTAGAGTGACAACAATGCCAGGAAGTTACTTTTCAAAAGTAATGTAACTAATGAGAACTAAGTTAATTTACTGGTGCAGTGAATTAAAATTGACTAGTAACGTTAAAGGATATTTGAAGGTATTGAGCAAAATCCCACCACTTGGTATAATAAATTGTAATAGGTCCATTGAATCAATGGGGATTTCACGAGTCAACTCCTCCATAAGTTCCACTGATTCAAGTAGGCCTACTCTAACTGCAACTTACTTTTGGTATACTTAAGTCACAATTAGGATTTGGGCCACTTTAGAAGTATTTTGACAATAATTTTTTCAATTGCCAGTCTGCCATATTAACAACCTTATTTTTTTTTAAAAAGAAAAATAATAGTAATAATGAAACAAACTACTTTTCAATCACTGTAACAAGTAATGCCAATTACTTCAAAAAAAACTATGGCCAGAATCCTATTACTCAGGCACACTAGCACAAGTCAAACAGCATCAATGTCAGGAGTTAATTCCTCTAATCCAAGAGCTGGTATTTGAATACTCATTGTCTGCTAAGCCACACAACTGGCACGTGACAGGGAATGCAAGCACTGACTGCTTCGCCAGTATGGATTTGCCACTGAGATTCCCCCTAACAGAGGCAAGTCCAATAGGATTCTGGCCAATAAATACAGGAAACAAATTACTTTGAAAAAGTAACTTTCCAGGATCTGATCGATCTGTATTCTTAATGAATATACTAAAAGAAAGTGGCAAACTGATGGAACTTTATAGGCAGACATTTTATTATGAACCCATCTCTAGCCAGAAAACAGATTGTAAAGGCTTTGTAGCCCAAAGCATCCGGAAAGAAAGTGGCGAGGGAAATCTTGTTTCTTTTTCATGATTGTTCTATTTATTTCTTGCATTAAATTTCTCCCCTGCCTTCCCACGAATAGGAGCAGCCCCCAAGCATCATTACAAACAGATTAAAAACAGTTGCAATCTACAAGGTAAGTTCACGGCGCAACCAGACCTGGTCCAAAGGCCCGACGGAGACTTTACGGATGTTGTTCGAAATGTGCTCCCAGCTGGATCCCTGGGGATAGCTCGGTGTAATGCCCTGGCGATACCACAGATTACCTATGAAGGATAATAATATGCAATATCAATTTATTATTACAGTGGTGCCCCGCATAGCGATGTTAATCCATTCCAGGATTAACGTCGCTATCCGGATTCTTCGCTATGCGGGAGGGGAAAACCCATAGGAACGCATTAAACTCCGTTTAATGCGTTCCTATTGGGGGAAAACTCACCGGTAAGTGAAGAATCCCGATCCGGCCGCCATTTTCGCCGCCTCGGTAAGTGAGGCACGAAAACGCTGCAGGCGGCCATTTTTCCCCGCTGGGCGGCGCTTGCTTCGGCTGTGGACGCCTCCCTGCAGGTTGTGCCGCCCAAGGCAAGCGCCGCCCAGCTGGGGGGAAATGGTGCCTATGGGGAAAAATTGCAAAGCGATTTTTCCCCATAGGGGCCATCGGTATGCGATCGCTTTTGCGATCACAAAATCCGCATCGGTATGCGGATTCGTCGTTAAACGGGGCACTCATTATACGAGGCACCACTGTATAGCGTTTCTTGTTTTAGCAAAACATTTGGGGAGGGCTTCAATCCAGAACACTGATGAGACCTATTTTAATAAATAACAGAAATACATACATTGGCGTGACGCGCTATGCGGGGCACCACTGTACATACATTGGCGTGACTCTCTTGACTTTGTTCTAATGTTTGCCGTAACAAGAGATAGGCCCGAACTGTCGAACCATCGATTCGTGCAGGTTAATTTTTCAGCCAAAATAGGTGTTCAATGCCCCACCTCGTCTGGCAGGTGCCCACTCATCCGTTCATTTAATTCTTTTAAACTCTTTTAAAATATTTGAATCATTTACTGTTGTTAGCTTTTAATAATTGTGTTTTGCATGAGGGAAGCCACCTCGGGCCTTTTTTAAGGAGAAAAGGCATGCATGGTCAAAATAAAATCAAAAGCCTGTGCTAACTTTTTAACTTGCAGCAAGTCACCCATGAGATTTATACCAATTATGTAAACACCCCCATGAAAATTGAATGGGATTTTTGTTACCGCAGCAAAAACAATGGGAAGTAATTATGCAAGGAAACAAGCAAAGAAAGATGTAAAAAAACACTCACCATTTTTATCCACCACAAACACAGACGTTCGTCCAACTGAGACTTGTTTGAGCTTCTGCTTTGGAGGAGAAGGAATGTGATACCAGCAGTCGCCTGCAGAAATGATGTCCACAGGGAAATTTTAAATACATTTTTTTTTAAAAAAAATCAAATTAATACTACTGATAGCCGCCTAAAGTGGTCCATCGGTCCAGATAGGCGGGGTATAAATCAAATAAATCAAATAAAAAATAAATAAATTGAAGTGAGGTTTTGTACGCAGCTGCTAAGCGTGATCTGTCAAAAACGCGCAATTGGAGAAATTCGCACAGGCTACTGGCCCCGTTTCTGAGTCCATTTCCAAGCTTGGACACAGATCAGGAAACTGAGTCATTGAGATATTGTTGGACTACGTCTCCCATCAGCCCCAACTAGCTCAGGCAATCATTTCCAAGCTTGGACACAGATCAGGAAATTGAGTTATTGAGATATTGTTGGACTACGTCTCCCGTCAGCCCCAACTAACTCAGGCAATGGCCAGGTCCCAAGCCCTTCAGATTAAAGAAATAGTATTTTTTATTATTATTAGTTTTATTTATATGCCACAGTTCTCCCAACAAAGGACCCAAAGCATCTCACAACATTAAAAAAATTCACATAATTTAAAAACACAAGTTAAATATTAAAAGATAAATTAAACAATATATGATTACAAAATTAAAATAAAATTAGATGACGTATAGGACCACTCCTCCACACCAGAAAAATGCACATCCACACATAGAAAGCTAGCAGGTTGTTCAGAATAAGTTGAATTTACTCTCATTGACATGCTAGTTTTCTACAAGCAGGGAATCATTTCGGGGAGCGCCCGCTCACACAATGAACCTTGCAGGAGCCAGATCTGGTTCAACATAGTCTCACCACAGGATACAAAATCCTCACAGGAGAGCTGAAAATCAACCGCTGAACTGAGTGAAGACTTACCTTCTGGTTTTTGGGGGGATACCGAACCACGATAAAATATGGAGCCATCTCGAGCGACTGCCCAGACTTGGTAAAAGGCTCCTATGGAAACTGAAATGAAAGGTTGGTCGGTGCCAACATGTAACCAGGAGGTGCCCTAAAAGAAGAGAGGAGTGAAGGAGAAAGCAAACATGTGGTGGTTACGAAACCTCAGTCTTTTCTGAATTCCCAAGAAAGGTAAAAAGAGTAGAAGATTCTGTTCTTCTTTGGTCCGGTCCCTAGAACACGCAAAATGGTCTGATCATAACTCAAGAGGAGAAGAGATGGAATAACCTGTTAAAATTCTATGTGACATTTTCCATATATGGCAAACGACTCTAGGTTAATGGTGGAACAACGTATAGCCATATGGAAGTTGCTGGAGAAATGCCCCATCAGGCCTAGCCACCAGCGCTGCTGATGGGAAATGGCGACGGGATCGTGGTTCAGCACAGCAGAAGGTGGGGAAATGCTGATTCTTGTGGCTGCAGTGAATCCGCTCCGGGTTTTAGTCAGAACTTTACAGAATCTATCCAGAGGGCTGAGCAGGGTTCTGTGCCTGGGAACAGCTGCTGGAAAGCTTAGCTTAAAACCCAGGACACATTCGCTGGAAAATGGGAGTCCCCAGACTTCCAACATCTAGAGGGCCACGCATTTCACATTCCTGTTTGTAATTGCACAACTGGCACCACATGAAACAGGTTTTAAATGCAGCTCTAGATCATCATCTTAGAACTGAAGAGCTGGAAGGGAAGCTATGGCTCATCCAGTCCAGCCCTTGTCATGGAGGAACAATGGGGAATCGAACTCCCAATGTTTGGCTCCACAGTCAGAGACGTAAACCATTGAGCTACTGCCCAAGATCCTGTATTTTCAGACCTGTTGCATATTTCAGTTGGGCTCTTTGAAGGAAGACCAGCTAGAGCAAGAGTAAGCTAAACTGATGCAAAAGACAACTACAGTGGTGCCTCGCTTAACGAGCGCACCGTTTAACGATGAATCCGCATAGCGACCCGTTTTTGCGGTCGCTAATGAGATCGCATTGTGATGTTTAGATAGGCTAAACATCGCATTGCAATCATTTCTGCACCCGGCGGCCATTTTGGGAACAGCTGATCGGCGGTTCCAAAATGGCTGCCGGGTGCAGAAAATGGCCGCCCGCACCATTTTCGCGCCCTGCCCTCACCGAGGGCGCGAAAATGGCGGCGCTACAGAGAAACTTAGCAGAACGGTGCGTTTAGGAGCCATAGGAACGCATTAAACTAAGTTTAATGCGTTTCTATGGCGTTTTCCGTTCCGTATAGCGATGTTTCCCCATAGCGATGGTTAATCCGGAACGGATTAACCTCGCTATGCGGGGCACCACTGTACTAGATTCTCCAATGGATTGTTGTAAATCAGAGCTGACCTGAGGACACAAATGAAGAAGGAACTAAACTGTTGCAAAAGATAAGAGGGAACAAGGTCTGCATCATAGGCACATGGGGGTGGGGGTCTTACCGCTGGGTTTTGGGGAGTGACGTTCAGTCGACACAGCACATCCCCTTTGTCGCTGATGGCCCAAAGAGCAACAAACTCATCCTCTGCCGCTGGTGATTGAGGAATGATCGAAACATCCCATAAAGCTATGGGAGGGATCTCCAACCATGGGCCAGTTGTGATGATTTTACATTTCCTGCAGATGGGGTATCAGGGTGAGAGGAAAAGAGGAACAGGAGTTAATTTTTCTGTCATTTCAGATATGGCACAAACATCCCACCAGAAAATGGTCTTTGGGAAGAATACAACAGGAAAAAAATAGGCTAACATCGTATTGCGACTTTTGACAGTGAACTAATACAAATCAGTGTAGAAAGTAGCTGAAATCTTGTTGATTAGCATAGTCATCCAGAAGTAGAGTAGAAACATTTGAATCAACGAAAGTTGAGGAGCTGACTCACCAAATTGCCTCTGAGATAAAATATATATACATGCTGAACACACATCTTAACTGACTAATTATCAGCCAGGGTTTCTAAAGTCATTACTAATTGCAATATTATCTACTGTTATTTTCTTTCCCAACTAACCACACCCACCATTTCAGAAGAAGATTCAAAGGTAAAGTCTGTCATTCTTTATATTACCAGATGCTGTTCCCCTGTTGTTTCCTTTAATCACTATTGTTGTTTACAGAACCAGGCTTCAAAAGAAGTGAATATGAAACAGCCATCTTAAATCATGACTAGGTGTGAAATGCAACCTATGCATGAATGCTTTACCATGTAGTCCGTATTCTAATTCATATGTCTGAAGAAGTGGACCATGTTCCATGAAAGCTTGCATTAAGATATGGAACTTCTTAACGTGCCATAACGTCTTTTTGTTTTGTGTTTCTTGTACAATCGTCTCTGATTCAATGGGCTGAATCTAGAGTGACTTATTACATTAAGCAAAAGAATTCCATCCATTATTTGTTGAGGATCAAGCTGAGAGACTCAGCACACCCATGGGTCAGATCTGTACTGATTTCACAACTCATTGCAAAAGTTGTGCCAATGCTGGCAACAGGATTTTGGTTATTGATTAGAACGGGGATCAGCCTGACCCATTTCCAGTCTTTGGCTTTCTTTAGGATTGGGGATGTGTGTGTCGAAATCTGTTTTGTTCAGTGTGCCTTTCCCGTTTGGTTTTAACGTGGCAGCGTTGACAACGAGCCACAGTCTCGGCTGACCCTCCCCTTTGTTTTCATAAGCGGCCATTCTAGCTGTGAAATAAAACGATGGTTCTAAAACATGTAAGTTCTCAATGTCATCTAGGGTCACAAACTACTGTATTTTTCGCTCCATAAGACGCACCTTTCCATAAGACGCAACAATTTTTAGGAGAAGAAAACAGGAAAATATAATCTTGTTTTCTTCGCTCCATAAGACGCACAGACTTTCCACCACCACCCCGTTTTGTGGGAAAAAAGTGCGTCTTATGGTGCGAAAAATATGGTATCTTCTAAACCATTACAGTGACTATACAAATATTTAAAGTCTGGATCCTGAGGTGGGATGGGAAAGCCTTCACGTGTGTGTGCGCGCGCGCACGTGCACATGTGCATGGGGGGGAACGCTGCTGTCTTTCTCACAATATTCAGCCGTTGGGAGCTGGAGGCAATTTCCTTTACACCAGAAACCAGGCGGTTTGGGGCCTTGAGTGTTTAATCTGTAGCCAACAGAGGTAAACCCTGAGCAAGACAAGGACTCAAATTTAAAGGCTTACTGGGGTTAGTAAAGGAATGTGTGTTTTATGGATGACCGTGGGGAAAAAAAGCGGAGAATGCCACATGAGCCCAGAAGGAACTAAAGCAAGGTCAGTCGATGCACAGAGAAGGAACAATCAAAACACAGGGGCTGAAACCCTCCCTTTTCACCCTAGCCAAATACCTTGGGCTTTTTTAAACCTACATTTCTACAACTTGATCATACCTTGCCCAGTTGGCCTCTGCCTCCATGAGGACTAGTAACAAGAAGCACAGGCCATTAACTCAGTTTGGACTCACAGCCATCATTCCTGGGGGGTTTTCTAATTATAAATCAGGGATGGGCACCCGAGTTGTGGGACCCAATGTCGGGGTGACTCAACTCGGCTTTTCCCCCCCAACGAATCAGATTTGACTCACAACCCAAAACCCACTCACCTGCCCTTCCCTTTTTTCCTTTCGGGGGGAGTTTGTTTTTTTAATAGGGATTCAAAACTGGGGCTTGAGATTCGAGACCTGGTACCAAAGATTTCGGCTCAAGCCCAAAGAGGTACCGACCTCCCTGGTATAGAAGTGCTCAGATGTGGTTTTACCATTTCCCAAAGACTGGGAAGGATTATATGCTACTGTTATTGACTTTGGAAATACATACGAGGAGGGAGAAGGTCTTGAACCGCCTTTAAAACCATCCACATATGAAAATCAGTGGTGTTTAAGTGACAAGGAGCAGGATTTTTTTTAAAGCACGCAAGCGATGCAAACATTTCCTTTGCTCTTCCCTTGGCAGCCTTAATTCTTTTTTTAAATAAAATAGGTCTGCACCAAAACCAGCTTCTAAATATGTATTCTAAAACAGAATTTTGGCACTTAAAAAAAGGAGATTTGTGCTGGAACATTTGGAAAGCGCAAACAAGTAGACGAAGAGGCTCTAAATCCATGTGTCCGGGAGGGGCATCAAAATATGCCATGAACAAATTTCCAAAACGTCCCTAAATGGAACGCTGGGGTGTTCTGGCCCTCCAGATATCTGGATGGCCAAATCTTTTTTTCTTACATCTCTTCTGGACTCAGATTCCCATGATCCCTTGCTCCGGGCCAAACTGGGCCTGGTTCACGGGAGATGTAGACCAAGACATCTGGGAGACCAAAGACTTTGTGAATAAAACACCACCCTTTCGCCCAAAATGTCCATCCAGATGCTGGTGGAGTCCGACTCCCAGCATTCCTCCCCATGGGCTGTGCTGCCTGTGGCTGATGGGAGCTGTAATCCAAGACCATCAGGAAGGCTGCCTTTCCCCCCCCCGACTCTCGGTTTGTAGTGGGGATGTTCTCGTAATGAAGACAGGCGTTGTGCATGGAATGGAATCAGAACACAGAAAAGTTGGCAGGCAGAGTCGGAAGGAAGGAGAGGAACGCAGGTGGGGAGTCAGGAAAAGAGAAGGCGATGGCCTGAAAAGTATTTAGAGATCGTGCCGTGTTTTACCTGGCCCAGCGCCTCCGCCTCACAAAGTCCTTCATTGTCTTGTTCCCGTGATAAGACCTGGGTGAAGAAGAAAGAGAGCCTTTTAAACACTGTCCAACCTGCGAGGATAAATGTTTTTCTGTCTCGTCAGTCCTCTCAAACAAAGGGGCAACCGTCGGAAGGGGTGGGCCCAATGATGGGGGAGAAGGTGAAGGGACTCCTGCAAGGGTAGTGATATCGGTCCCCCATTGACTATTCCCCGCTGATTACTCCTTAAGCACTCAGTCAGAGAGTTCCACAGGCCACTGACCTACCACCTTTGCACTGGGGCAGATCTCAAGACCTCAGCAGTGCGTAGCGTAAGCCCCTTGAACAAGCCTGACCTTAAAAGAACACTCTACTTTTACCCAGTACTTTGCAAGTACAGACACATGGGCTTTGTGATTCCTTAGAACTCACAACAGCTCAGTTAGGTAGGACTCTCAATGATAGCTAGTTTGTGGCCCTCTCCACCTCCTGGATTTAGCCAGACCCTGCTGTTCAAGAGACCAGTCCTCTGTCAGAATTTTTATTATTTTTTATTAGAAAAATAGAGTTCCATAGAATCAGTTTATATTGCTCAAGCTTTAGCGCAAAGAACATATTCAAAGATCATTGTCGTTGAATAAAATAACTAATCTCCATTAAAAATAATAAACACTATTAAGCTGGGCTAAGGTGGGCTAGCCCCACCTCCTTCTTTCTCCCCACTTACATTCTCTCTCCTTCAAGCCACATGCTCAAACCATCAAGTTCTTTTTCTCTCCCATCATCATGGAATCGAACTTCTCCCGCATAACCCATCATCCATTTTCTACATAATCTAACTCCTCCCTTCTTCTTGACACTTCATGGCTGTTAACCAATTAGCCTCGAGGGGCTGTAACCCCTTCCTCCGCCCTTAATTCCCGTGAAGATCCAGGTGTTTTATCTCTTCGCCAATTAGCTCGGGATGTTGAGGCTTTCACCGGCCCTTTGGTTGGATCTTCCGCTTTATCTCAAACCACGTTGTACCACTTCCTCCGCCCTCAATTCCCATGAAGATCCAGGTGTTTTATCTCTTCTCCAATTAGCTCGGGATGTTGAGGCTTTCACCAACCCCTTGGCTGGATCTTCCGCTTTATCTCAAACCACATTGTACCAGTCTTCCGAAAAACACTCCCATAGCACTTAGAAAAAACACGTTCCAATGTCTCCGAAATCATCTCCACACAGAACCTGTCTGACTCATCTTACATTTCTCTGACTACATATCCCACACTGCTTCAACTCCATCACACTAACATTTGCCAGATCATCATCAGGGACCAATTCACGGCCAAAACATGTTTGATCTCTGTTAGATACGGATTTCTCCTTGCTTATTTATTTAAGAGTGGCACTAAGCTGCTTGCTTCATCTAGGATCATATATCCTGACTTCATAGCTGATTTTGACGTGTGCAGTGTGAGTGTGGACTTTTTTTTTTTGCTTGTGTGAGTGATAACTACCGGCTACAGCCTGTTGTGTTGACTGTTTTGATCTCTACTTGTTTCTCAGTCGTCCAGAAAGAAAGAAAAACAGGAGTCCTTACGCTGGAAAATCCGCTGCGTACTGCCAGCCTTCCCGATCCGTGCCGCCTGAAACGCTAAAATCGATGTACCAGTCCGACACCTGGATTGCGGACAGAAAAGCAAAATTCAGAAGCAGAATGAAACTTTGCTCCTTCCCAAAGTTTGAGGCACTCCCTCACAAACGCAAACAAACACCTGTGTCTTCCTTTACTGAGTCAATCCATCTCATGTTCAGTCTTCCTCTTTTCCTACAGTTTTCCAATTTTCCTAGCATGACAGCATTTCCCCCCCAGTGACTCTTCTCATAAAAGCATGATTGCCTCAGTCAAGTCATTTTCATTTCTAGAAAGAGTTCAGGCCTGATTTGATGTAAGACCCATGTACAGTGGTGCCCCGCATAGCGACGATAATCCGTTCCAAGGAAATCGTCGCTATCCGGAATCGTTGCTATATGGAACGGAAAACCCCATAGGAATGCATTAAACCCTGTTTAATGCGTTCCTATGGGGAAAAAACTCACCGCTATGTGGAAATCCTCCATCTGGACGCCATTTTCGCTGCCCGGTAAGCGAGGAAAGGGCGCGAAAACGCTGCGGGCGGCCATTTTTTTCCAGCTGCCATTTTGGAACCGCCGATCAGCTGTTTTCTAAACATCGCAATGCGAAAATTGGTAAGCCAAACGCTTACCAATCATCGCAATGCGATGTTTAGCTATGTGGATTCATCGTTAAACAGGGTGCTCGCTATGCGGGGCACCACTGTATTTGTCTCTCTGCTGGTGCAAGATTTTCAAGATGGGAGGGCCGGCAAAAGCAATGATGATGTTATCCAATCTCTTATGAGAATAAGAATAAGAAGGTGGCTGATACAAAATCTAAAGTCTGTCCTCCCATGGCAACTTGCTTAAGGATCCGCTTACCCAAGACCACTGGGGGGACGGGGGCTTGGTGTTTGTTTTCGTACACTCCCGTAAGCCAGATGCGTCGCTCCACATGTACCGATCCGTGGGCAAGCCCCTGCAAGACAAACAGGCACAAAGCTGTGGCTGATCTGGGGCACCGTTACTCAGAAGAAAATCCTATTTAGATCATCAGAATGTCCCCGCCCCCCCCAAAAAACTTGGTGATCTTTTAGACTACAACTCCCATAGCCAGTTAAAACTATGGGAGTTGTAGTCTAAAACAGTGACCCGATGGGGAAAAGGCTCCTTTTGAAAACACACACAATGATTCTCTCAGCCTCTGCTCTACTATCCCGAGGGCATCTGAACAAAGGAGAGAGGGCTGTCCTTCAAAAAGGCTGTAACTGTGACATCGAACTGTTGGCCTGCTCTCACAACCCGGAGAGGCTAGCTTGGCCGGTAAATGAAGGCACAGGGCCTTCTCTGTGGTGGCATCTCAGCTCCCAAGGGAAATTAGCCTTATTTCCACTGCCAGCTAAAATTGTACTGTTCTGAAAAGCCTCTGGTCTTTATTATTATTATTTTAAAAACTAGGTTTTAGAGAATGTCTAGATCTGCTTTTAAATAATGTCTGGGAACTTATATCTGTGGAAGGTCTGCCTAATTTGCTGCGGCTAATTGCATCTAATTGGTGAGGTTACGGTTGCATCTTAACTGAGCCACTGGCTGCTCGACCAGGACCGAGCCACATCCTGGTGCCTCCTCAGTCGCAGATGGTAACACATACCTTATAGGATTCATCGTTTTTCATCCCCTCCCTCCTGTTTTTAAAAAGGTTTTCATCTCTCTGTAATATTTTTTAATCTATTTTCAAGCACGACACTAACGGAGTTTAAAAATGCTTCAGACCAAGTACAGTAGGACGGCTGGATCTGAAGGATCGGTACCCGCCATTTCACTAATCCACCGCCTGAAAATAAAATAAAATAAAACCCCAAAACGCATGTTCCCAAGGTGTATTACCAAGACTGACCACTGGATGGAACCAGAGTTGTTGTTGTTTAGTCGTTTAGTCGTATCCGACTGTTCGTGACCCCATGGACCAGAACACACCAGAGACTATCCTATAAAATGCACTCATGGCTTGACCGTCTCTGAGTGAAGCAGCTTCAGGCGATATGGAGAAACTGCATTTCGATGGTGGGGCAGATGGCAGTTGCTGGTTTCCAGGAAGCCTCCCCTGTGGACAGGGGGGCAGGAAACCCAGTCCTTTGCCAAGATTGAGCCAAGGCTCCCTCTCTCAACCATGCATGGCACCAAAGAAACTGGGAGTCAGAGCTTCACGTATCCGCGATTTCCGGTATCCGCAGGAGATGGGCTTGGAAATGATCCCCTGCGGATACTGCGGTCCAACTGCAAAGAAATTCAACAGGAAATTGGGGGGGGGGATTGCAACTTTTAGCCCCACACCCCTATTTTTAATCCTCAGGTGAGGACTTCTGTCTGTAAACTAAAGAACCTGGACTCTACAACTAAACTGACCGAAAGACACAAGCTGGATATTCATAAAAATCTGAAAGAAATTGTTCACTGGGACACAAAAGCAGTTCTAAGTCAAATGAGACCAAGCAAAAAACTAATGTTCCTTTCTACGTTTTCAACCATGCAATGAAGACCTTTCCTTGTATGACAGAGCAGGAAAGGCTACTCAGCAGCCGCAATGAATCAAGGATCTCTTTTTATGAGATATACTTGTTGCATTCACAGATTGCATTCCCAGGGGTACATTAATACTCTGCAGCTATATGCGTGGGAAAAAAAGAGTTCTGTGCTTAATACCGAGCAACTCCAGAGCGCTGCTTTCCAGCACAACCCCTTCCTCGCCAAACACACCCGGTTTTAACATTTGCTGTACGTCTGCCCTCACATGGTGAAATCCAGAATCCACTCATCAGGGCAAATGTCTTAGGCTTTTGCAAAACCAGAGGTCTGGAGTTCCAATTCCCCCCTGTGCATCCTTGGAGAAGAGCCAGCCTGCGTAGCCCTGGGCAAGCTGGACAATCAGAACGAACTAAGCAGCACATCATCATCATCAAGAAGCCTGTCGAAGGGTCAGGTTTAAGAAGATGATGTACACACCCTTCTTCCCCAACTACGAGGATTTTGCATTGATCACACCAAAATTTAGAATGCACCAGTCAGGTCGAAACTGCAGCTTGCAAAGTACAAAGACACCAGGGTGATTTCAAACATTCAGGGTAGATGGAGTGATCAAACTGGTCCTCAGTGATTTCAATGGGTCTACTCTAAGCATGACTAAATGTGGATCCAGCCCATAAACCATTTTACACGGAAACTACAACATCAGTGGGGGCCTGCTGGATCTAAGCAGGAGACCTCTCTGGTCCAGCATTCTGTAAGCCACGTGACTGGTCAACCACATGACACCTGGAAGTCCACAACACAAAGGCACAAGAGATGCCTGGCCACAACTTCACTGCACAGAGCTGATGACCCATACAGACTCACCCTTATGCAACCCTCCCCTTGGGCACTCATCCATTCTCTGGTTCCACGCCAGCACTTTATCTTATCACTGTGACTTAAGCTACTTCCCTTATGCAATCATTAAATAGCAAGAAGATTCTGGCTAGGGCTTAACATTCTGCATCAAATCCCAGCCTCACTCATATTTCCCTTCACATGCACTGCAGTTCCTGCCGTTCATATCCAGCTGGAAGGCAACCATTGTTTGCAATTTAATCCAACCCAGTATACTGTAGTTTGCATTTTGCACCACAAAACATAAGTGGAAAGTTGGGCACAAAGTCATCATTCATTCATTCATTCATTCATTCATTCATTCATTCATTCATTCATTCATTCGCCATCAAAGTCTTTTTCATTCATTCATTCATTCATTCGCCATCAAATCTTTTTAGAAAATAATGCAGATACAACTAAGCAGTGGAGTAGTACACTCACGACTCAGAGGGTTAAGTCATCAGGATTTTTTGATTACTGAGAATAAGCACATCATCTGGGCCTTGCTCTGGCTTTTTTTTTTGAGCTCAGATGCACTAGCTGCAAGGGCGGAATGAATTTTCTCAGCAATAATATATTGGTGCAAGGTATTCCTGTTATAATACACAGCACTGAGTGGCAGATGTGTTTTTCTGAGTTTTCTTTAATTTTTGGTGATTTTTTTTCTCTCTCATTGAAAAGCATTGGACGGACGGTCCAATGCTTTTCAATGAGAGAAACAAAATCACCAAAAATTAACGACGACTCAGAACAACACCAAATTAAGTTTGCATAGGTTTCAGGAGGTGGGCTAATGGTTGCAAGCATTAATCTGTTCCAATTGGAATGGATTAACCGGTTTTCAATGCATACCTATGGGAAATGGTGTTTCACTTAACGATGTTTTCACATAACGATTTTTTTAATGGAACCAATTAACATCGTTAAGCGAGGCACCACTGTAATGCAGATGAACTAAGCAGTGGAGTAGTACACTCAGGACTCAGAGGGTTAAGTCATCAGGATTTTTTAATTACCGAGAATAAGCACATCATCTGGGCCTTGCTCTGGCTTTTTTTTTGAGCTCAGATGCACTAGCTGCAAGGGCGGAATGAATTTTCTCAGCAATAATATATTGGTGCAAGGTATTCCTGTTATAATACACAGCACTGAGTGGCAGATTGGTCTCAGATAAGTAATCAAGATCCATGGGCTCTACAAAAGACCTGTTCCCTATGAAGATGAAAAAATGCAAGAATTGTTCTGCCGATATGGGTCTATCACAAGGCGTGTCACATTTCAGAATCTACTATTACACTATCAAAGTGGAGCATTATCCAACCCTTCAGGTTTTCAGCGTCGCTCACCTGCTGCTGTATCCAGTGACAGGATTCCATCGCTGGTTCTCATAAATGTAGACACATTTCACATCCGATTGTGTGTAAATGTTATCCCCACTGCTTGCCAGACCTGCAAGTCCCAAAGTATGAATTATCACTTGCTGGTTGTGCATTTCCATTTGTTGGCTATGATCCGCTGGTGTCATGTACTGCCAAGTCATTTATGGTGATACTGATCCTTCGAGGGTATTTGAGATGTTCAAGGAGCAGTTTATCATTGCCCTCCCCAAGGCAGCTTTCATGACTGAGCAAGGTTTTGAACCCAGAGAGTACATAAAGCACTTTATCCACTATACTACAATGTCTCTCACGGATTTACAGTGGTGAGATTTTTACTCCAAAAAAATCCCATATCTATAAATTCTTCATTTTGAGAGTTCTGGCTGACTGGGAGGTGCCTTACAGACATCTCGATGTGGTTCGCCTGTGAGAAAGAGCCTACACTGGAAGGCTGTGATGGTGAACTAGGCCTAGCTTCCTGTTCTTCAGGTAGAGCTCTGGCCTCGCTAGGCCTCAAAGCCTTCCACATTTAGGCCTTTCTCCCAGGCGACTCATGTTTAAGGCGTCTGTCAGTCAGAATTTTCACAATTGAGAATTATGGGATTTGTAGTCCAAAAAAATCCAACCACTAGTGGCTTACATAAACATTCATCTGGGGCCTTGATATCTATAAATCAAACAAAACACATTAAAAGGCATTGAAAACTTTACATATAGAAAACACTCAGAGCACAATGGACTGAGACAGTTTCTACACCTGGAAAGTATTTCTGAAAAGAGGAGCACCCCTTCGAGTCACGTGCTCACTTGTTCTTTGCGGTAAGAAATTTAGTAAAGAAATCCTGGTTACCCAAGAAGCTGCCTCCGTATCCACCCGTGTAAACCCAGGCTGTGTGGTCATAGCCGATGCCCCAGACGATGCCGCGGCTGTTGCTTTCAACCAGCCGGAGGTGTCCCCCAATCTGACGCCAGAACCTAAAAGTCACAAGGAATCCGCTCAGCATTTGCCCAGGGTAGGGAAACATAAAGGAACACATTGGTGAAAGCCAGTATCCTGTTGGGTGAAATGCGTGCAGAAGAGACGCTTGTCATGACTATTTTGAGAGATAACAGTTGCGCAGCTGGCTGTCCCAGGTAACCACAACCAAATGTTGGCCAATATTTTAAAGGAATCCGCTCAGCATTTGCCCAGGGTAGGGAAACATAAAGGAACACATTGGTGAAAGCCAGTATCTGTTGGGTGAAATTCGTGCAGAAGGGATGCTTATCATGACTATTTTGAGAGATGACTGTTGCACAGCTGGCTGTCCCAGGTAAACACAACCAAATGGAGTTTTGGTAACCTTGCCTGCTGCTTTTAGTCCATTTTGGCTGTCTGGCCATGTTCCGGAGGTTTTTCTTCTTCCTAACATTTCGCCAGTCTCTGTGGCTGACAGAGTTCTGACTCCTGTCCTCTGAAGATGCCGGCCACAGAGACTGGCAAAACGTCAGGAAGAACGACCTTCAGAACACGGCCAAGGAGCCTGAAAAACCCAGAACAACCATTAGATCCCGGCTGTGAAAGCCTTCAAGAACACATTTTTATCTGCTCTATCTTCAGAGGTGCTAAAGGACCCTGTATGTTCTTTCCTTCCCCTGCCATTTATCCTACTTACAGTCCAGAGATGGTTGGAGTTGTGGTAACTTTGCCTGCTGCTTTCAGTCCGTTTTGGCTGAGAGGGACCTTTCGGGGCTGGGGTGACTGTCCATCTACCCAGCACGACCCCACTGCTCTTGCCTGTCTCCCCTTTCAAAGCTTCTCAGTGCCCTTTCCCTTCCTTGCGAGTCTGCCAAAATCTGTTGCTGAAAGCAGTCACGTTTGTCAATTTGCTGTCTGATCTGTTCAATAACTTTAAAAAAGAGGTTTTTAATCTTTCTCCTTACTAATGTCTCAGCGAGAAATTGAAATGTAAATGCCTGTGAATGAGGAAAAAAAGAGGTGGTTTACTCTGGGAAAACTGACACGCTTCTGCTCTGTGAATCCCTGCACTTCTGCTGTGCAGCCAGAGATGTCACCAAAAATTCAAAACTCTGCAAGGTGAGAGACAACATGAGACTCTGACTCCTCAAATTAAGCTGGAGGCTCAGCAGAATGGGCTAGAAACTGGCACCCCAGGCTGGGACTTGGGAGGTCAAGGTTCAAGTCCCTATTGAGGCACGGAATTCTCTAGATGATCTCAGGCCAGTCACTCTCTCCCTCTCAGTCTGACCTACCTCACTGGGTCCGTGTGAGGATCAAAATGCAGGAGAACCGTGGGGTCCTGCCTTAAGCTCACTGGAGGAAAAGCAGGACCAAGTTCAATAACTAGAAACAACAAAGGAAGAACAAACTGGAAATTCCTTAAGTTTGACATTTGAACCCAGAAGCAAGTAATGTGTTCTCCTGCTGAGGTTTGGGACTACAGCTCCCATAGTTCCTCACTTCTGGCCATGCTATCTAAGGTGGGTGGTACCTTTCAACCTCATGCTCTGCTAACTAAAGGAAATACCATATTTTTCTGTATATAAGATGCCCCCATGTATAAGACGGCACCACTTTTAAAATCCAAAATTAAGAAAAATAAGTGGGGCTTAGCAAGTGTAGGGGGAAAGGGATCAAAGCGCTGCAGGATCGCTTTGATCCCTGCTTTCCCCCCCACTTGTTTTTGTTCTCTCCTCAGCTTACTTACGTGTATAGATGAGCCTCAATCTTTAGTCTAAAGAAGATTTTAAACAAAAGTATAGTCTTATGCATGGAAAAATACGGTAATCAACATTCGCTAGCATATGTATTTTAGCTCTAACCACTACAGTATACCCTCCCTCAGGTTCTGTTTATTTCCAGTAAGGAGGATGATTAGAAACACAGCAGGTTCTGAGAGGTCAGGTTGGTATTTGGGAGCCCCCGTCCAGCCCACTTCGCTGTTCCTTAGCAAAGAGCAAGCTGCCAGCCTAATTAGTTAATTATAGCTCAATAACGAACGATGAGTGATCAAATTAACATTGATGGTTAACAGGTTTGGCATTCACCGTTACAAAAAGAACCAAAGGCAGTAAGACTGCACTAAAAGCTACACAAAACCCATGTAACGAACATATCAGTCAAAACAACAACATAACCCACAGGCGAGCAGAAGTAAAAGTGTGCAAATTGGTGTTTCGGGACTACGACGCTCAGAATTCCCACAGCTGCCCTATGGAATCCTGGGAACTGTAGTCCCACAGCAAGAGGACAGTATATAGACCTCCAGGGGAAGGACAGAATTCGAACTGCAAAGTTACGAGTCAGGTGGAACCAAAAGGTGCTTCTCAGCCGACTAAAGAATATTATAAAGAGGGAATTTGGCAAATATCGCTCTGCCGAGGAGAAGGCACTGCCCTGCGCAGCTGCCAACACCCACCACCCACCCCGTAAATCACACGTGTGGCCCGTGCAGGAGAGGTTGCTTACATTTGGTCGCAAGGCATGGGGTGCGTTGCCGCTTCCAGGTCGGGGCTCGGCTCGCTCACAAAGATGTCTCCTTTACAGGTCAGAGACCAGATGGCTTGGTGGGAAGGAGGCCCCTGGATCTGCCGGCTTTCACAGCAGGACGTGCTCAGGAGAGCCAGCTGGGAGAGAGAAAACGGGCATAGGTTTCCTACCAGCCAACTGGGAGGAGTGTGCAAACTCCCCCCTCTCTCTCCCCACTGAAAACACCTCCTTGCCCACTCATTGCCAGCAGCTACAAAGTACACTCAGCATCTAAGCATCAATCTAAATATTGAGGGGAATAGATATTCTTTAAAATTAAACTCCCTGTTTCTCCTGTTCTGGGATTTTCTTAAGGACAGGTCCCCGGGTAGTCACATGTACTACTTAAGCTCTGTCTTCAACCTAAAGACGAATCATGCAACACAGCACGCTAAACTGTAAAATACATTGGTGCAGAAAATCACATCCTATTTCTCACCACTTGGGAAGTATGTTTGCCAAAAATAAATAAATAAAAAAGATCAATAAACCTACCGGCCCTAAATCCAATTCCCAGTTTCAACTGGAATCGACCCATTAAATGAATGAGATTATGTACCACGAGAATTGATTTACCGTTAACCAACTGGTTTGGTGGGTCCCAGTTTCAACTGGAATCGACCCATTAAGAGAGTTGATTTACAGTTAACCAACTGGTTTGGTGGATCTGCTCTGGTTGAGATCAGCCACTGAACGTAAGCCACTATGCATTTTGCTTAAACTGAAGCATTCAAGAGCAACATTTTACCTGAAACGTCTTCGTAGCTGTGATGAGCGACTGTAGCCCTCCAGACATCTTTGGCCTACAACTCCCCTAAGCCCTCTGGCCAGTGAGAAAACATAAGGGATTATGGGAGTTGTAGTAAAAAACAAAAACCCAGAGGACTCCCTGGTAGTCCAAATTGCACCAGACTCTGAGACACAAATGATCCGAATTCATTTTCATAAAAATGCCCCACTGGCTACCAGTTTGTAAGGTGAATGGTTAAGCTGCCGATGATGACCCCAACCCTGTTAGTCTTCAGTTTTTGAATTTCAATGCATTGCTGTGGGCGTTTGTTTTTTATCGCAATTAACTTGCAGTCTTACCCAGTCGTGCATTTCTTGCTCGGTAGCTGCTGCCAGTCGGATGGGCCAACGCTGCTTGGTCTTCTCCGGCGTATACAGAGCAAACGAAGGCTTCGTCTCATTCAGGATCTCAACCAGGATCGTGACTTCATTGAGGAACACGTGGATATACTAACAAACGCATGCAACACAAACACAGGTTGTCTTATTCAGGACATGCACTGTGATGCAGTAGAACCCTCATATCCATGGGGGGGGGTCGGTTCTAAGCTGCTGCCCCCCTGCCCGCATATGTTGAAAAACACGGATTGTAGTGAATGCTATACATAACATGGTCCTTGGCTCCCTGTAGTGGCTAGTCCTGGCTAACTTCATCTTTAGAAATATATTTGTAGGATTTTTCCTTTAAGCTGCTATACATAACATGGTCTTTGGCTCCCTGTAGTGGCTAGTCCTGGATAACTTCATCTTTAGAAATATATATTTCTAGGATTTTTCCTTTAAGATTTTTAATATTTTCAGACCATGGATAGGAGAATCAGTGGATACTAATGTTCTGGATATGGGGATCCTACTATACTCCTTTAAAATAAGTAAGTAAAGAAAGAAGATGTACAGAATAAATAAATAAATAAATAAATGAATGAATGAATGAATGAATGAATGAATAAATAAATAAATAAATAAATAAATTCAAATATCCCATCTGTAGCTACAACCAAACCACCAAACCACCTACAAGCAATTACATCTACCCCAGTAAACCACAACCCTATATTATTTAGCCAGTGTGTTTACTGGATAAATTCAAATATCCCATCTGTAGCTACCACCAAACCACCTACAAGCAATTACATCTACCCCAGTAAACCACAACCCTATATTATTTAGCCAGTGTGTTTAATGGACTTG